CTTGGCAGGAGCTGTTTTGAAGACACTTTTTTTGGGGGGGGGGTTCAAACATATTCCTTGTTAAACTGAATTTTTAAAAAAATGTATTAATTACAATTACACTCTTTGACTTGTTACAAGACTGTTTAACTTAGTTTCCTTTTAAGGTTGGCCATCGACTGACATTGGTCTTTATCCTATTTTTTTTTTTTTGTTTAAAGATTTTATTTATTTATTTGAGAGAGAATGAGAGATAGAGAGCACGAGAGGGAAGAGGGTCAGAGGGAGAAGCAGACTCCCCGCCGAGCAGGGAGCCCAATGTGGGACTCGATCCCGGGACTCCAGGATCATGACCTGAGCCGAAGGCAGTCGCTTAACCAACTGAGCCACCCAGGCGCCCCGGTCTTTATCCTATTAAAGTCCATTATAAATATGCTTAGCATTTTATCAAAGTCAAGAATACTAGTTTCTTCCCAGGAAGATGTACATTACATCATACAGAAATTTCTGGCTGAGATCAGTTTTGGGACCATTTTTCTCTTTCAGTACCTTATTCCTTCTTAACCCCCAAACATTAATACTAAGGTTTTGATTATCATAAACTTTTGATACTGAATTCAGAAATTTGGAGGATTAAAAATTTCATGTCTAAAGAGGAACTGACTATGCTAAGTGATGGAGATATGAGCTTGATCCTTATTGATGAGTGCTGTGTACGTATGGGTGCACGGTCAAGGGCTCCAGGACATCCTGGTGGGTGGGCCATGAAGCCCATAGCCCTGCATTCAAAGGTCAACTTTGGATCCTGAATTTATTTTCCATTTTGCTTAATAGACCTTGATGGGCTTCTTCATTTTTCTCTATTTGTAGGATTATACAATTATGAAGTTTATTTTAAATATTATGCCATCAATTTTTGGATCAGTTAAATAGCTTTGTCTAGCTTGAGATAACTTATGTGTTCTTTCTACCGAAAGCAGGCAGACTGGAAACAATCACATTAACTCATATAAGCTTAAGAAATGTAGAGGAAGTCTCTGTCATTTGAAAAAAAAAAAAAAAAGATTAAAAGACAAAAGAAAAGAAATCAAAGCAAGAGTAGAGCAGGGACATGGCTGTCTTAGCAGTAGCTTTTCTTATTGTTTTAAGAATTCAACAATTTGGTCATGGAAAGGGATTGAAAATAGAATCAAAATCTCTTTTCCCCACTCTTCATCACTGAATTTATAGAACTTGTAGGATGAATTGTATGCCATTATGCTAATTATATAATAAATATATCCTTTATTCTCTAGTTCAGTTTTATTTATTGCCAATTAACCCATTTGTCACTATCATGAATACCTCTTTAGCTACCAAAAATATCTTTAAAAGCTCTAACCTCACAGCTCCAAGTTTGCGAATGAGTTTCTGGAATAAGTGGGTAACTATGTGAAGCCCCCCTCTGTCCCACTCTTTGCAGAAGTTGCGCCTTAATGCATGCTGAGAGTTCAATTTAAGGAGGTGTCCTAACAATTTGAATTGAGGGCTTTCCCCCTAAGATCGTGACAGAGTTCTCACTCTTAATGGACTTTTCTTACTTGGGTAGTCCCTCCACTCTTCTCTTTCTGAGTCATGCCTGTAATGCTCAGTTTATGCCAAGTAGGGAGAAAAAGAAACAAAACACCAGTTAACAGAAGCTGATTAAAGAATATGGAAATTATACTCATAAAACTGCCCTTGTTAAATAAGCACATTGGGGTTATGCATCTTTTATTTTGTGTGTCAGCTTTACAGATGAGTTTTTCTAATCATAATATGTATTGAACCAAAATGAATCAAGCTAGAAGCACCCATTCATTTTTTTTTTCTTCTCATTTTAGGAATATTAGACTTTCCTTTACTGAAGCACTCTTTTTCTCTCTCAGAAATATATCATTTTTTTAAAGTGACCATAAGCAATGAATTTCTATCCTACACTCTCCTTGGTAAATTGAGTTTATTAACACTGCAATACGAAGTCTATGTGAGGCTTATTAAGGATGTGTTCAAAGTGCCCAGATATTTCTTACTGTTTTCCCCAAGGCCCCTCCTACAACATGCCCAACTGAACTTGGAAATCTTGAGTTTTAAAATATTTTAAAGTGTACAATAGAGGAGAAAACATGTGTTTTCATTTATTTTTTTATTTATAGAATGCTGTTTTACGGAAGGTTAAGATTCTGTTAGTTGAAAATCACAGAATCCTGGCTTGAGCCAGCCCGAATGGAATGGGTTTTTTTCTAGAAAGATCTCAGGTTATCTCACAGCATGTGATACAGATTAAAACCACTCCAGCCCTCAGGAAGTTCAGGGGTGCAACCAAATCTTGGAACAACAGGAACCAGCCACACAAGTCCTGTCAGGACGCCCATCTGTCTTTTCTGCTGCATTCTGCACCCCGACATTCTCTCTCTCTTTCTTTCTCTTTCATTGCATGCAAGCTTTCTTCTTGTCGCTGAAGATGTGGCCCCTGAGAACTTCTGAGTTTTCTATTTTATAGCTTCAGCCATTAAAAGAGTCCAACCTGAACCTTCTTGGTACTGAAACCAAGAGAACTATAGGATTAAATGCCTACCGATGTGGCTTTGTTCAACTTTCCAACTATATATTTTTTTAAGATTTATTTATTTGAGAGAGAAAGAGTGCAGGGAGGAGGGGCAGGGGAGAGAGAAAATTTTCAGCAGACTCTCCACTGAGTGCGGGGCCCTACACTAGGCTCGATCTCAGGACCCTGAGATCAGGACCTGAACATAGAAAGCAAGAGCTGGGTTCTCAACTGACTGCACTACCCAGGTGCCCCTCAGTTTTCCATCTTTAAAGCAACTAAGTTTATGTTGGGGAAGGAAGGGGAGCAAATGATAGTATAATTTGCCAGTCGTGGAGTGCGTGTGAGTTTGTGTGTGTGTGTGTGTGTGTGTGTGTGTTTGGTTACGGGGGGAAGGGGAGTGGGATGGAGTTGGATAGGGGTAAAGACAGGAGTGTAAGAACTTGACAGTTCCAGAGGGAAAATCTATCAAGAAAATGCACTGCGGGAGCAGCATAATTCAGAAGCATGGAGGTGCGGCGATGTAAGGGAAGAAAGGTGTAGGGTGAGTGGGTTTTCAGGGGTTAGCCCCATAGGTTCTCTGTCAGGGCACACCCTGAGGCAGAGGCCCTTGCTTGGAATATGTAGATGAGGACCCCGATGCTTCAAGTTTCTGTAACTCCCCACAGCACAAGAATAGTGGGGGACATGGACTTTGGTACATCTCAGTGACGAATCTGTTTCTTTCCCTTTCTACCAAGACCAAGAGCTGGGCACGGGAATCAAGAGGAAGGATAAAATCTGAATCACACGGAAGGCACACCTTGTTTTTTTTTTTTATGTATTGAGTAGTTGGTTTCTATGAACATGTTCCAAGAAAATTTACTAGTCCTTCCCCACCCCCTTCTGTTCTTTAAGCCATAGTTGGATACCATGGAGTTACCAATATGCTTTTCCCAAACATAAGCTCTGTCAGCACATTTGCATGTTTGCTGTGCTGAGCGGAAAATTTCTAAGAATATGTCTGAATATATGCAGGAGTATTAGTTTCTGGGCTTTGAAAAAATCATTGCTGGAGGGTTTCCTACCTATATAGGACATTTAGGATAAATCATCTTACTTTTGCTTGCCTCACATTCTCAGAAGCTACACAATGAACCCTTTTATTGTATTAGACCACTTCCATAGCTTCATTGCTCACACCTTCTCCCCTTTTAAATTCGTGGGATTTTTTTCCCTGTAAAGATTGTTTCAAGAATTGCAGTATTTATCACTGCTTTTACTCTTAATTTTATTCATTACAAGTATTGAGCACTTGCCAGGTTGTTTTTTTGGTCATAACAGTACCTGCCATGTAGAGACTTTAAATCATTTATGTAAGAAGTAGGGAAAATTGCCTAAAGACACCATGCAGCATATGGCTGAGCTGGGATTTGAACTCAGATATAAGTGACCCTAAAGCCCATGATCTCTGTCCAGAAGAAAGGAACATTGCCTTCACTCCCATCACCTCAAGTGATGCTTGACATCTGTCCTTCCTATCAATTTTGTAATGTGTTTGGTTTACTTTGTCGTGGCCATGATTCATATTTTGAATTTTCACTTAATCCAGTTTCAGTCTGTTATAATCCTTTTTGTTAACCATTTGTGGTACCTTTATGATAGCCCATTAATTTTATGTACTACAACGTCCCTAAGAAATTTTCCAGTGTTGGATATTTACATTGATTCATCATGACTTCCTTGTGAATGATGATAATTAGCATACGTAGTTTTTATATTTTGAAATATATGCTTAAGATAAAGCCATTTAAGTGTGATTCCGAGGTCAAATTCTATGAATGCTTCAGAGTATTTTTAACGTGTATGGTGAAAATATTTTTCAGAATAGTCATACCGTTTTCATCATAAGTAGTAAAGGCCTCATTTTAAGGGTGGGTTGGAATTTTTTGAAATAATAGAATTTCCTTGCATATTAAATGAGCAGGTACCATCTTCTCAAATTTCATGTGCAGTTTAAAATAGATTCCTGGCCATCATCCAAAAGAGAATCATGAGGACAGTGACCTCAATTATCTACCCCTTTTCACTTCCCTTTAAAAATGTAGAACTTTCCAAGATGTAAAATCACAATCTTTGTACATTTTGTTCTATAGTAAATGAAAAATCTTATAGATTCTGACCACTTCAAATTAACCTTAAGTCAGTGGCAATTTGCCCCATTGTTGAAATGCTTAACATAATCGCTTACATCAGCTCTGAGCCTTTCATTACACAGTAGTGCTAGATGGACCCACCCCTTGTGGTAAAGCCATAGAATTATTTTACTGTTGCTCAAGTTTGACTTAGGTATAGACATATAGCAGACCGATTTCTACTATCAATTCATGCAGTTAGATATTAGACATTTTGGATTTTGTCCCTTCATTTCAACTGAGTTGGTTTATTTTGTTGCTTTTGCTTTATCTTCCCTTAGGTGTTTGCCAAACTACTGTGAACATGGAGGAAGCTGTTCCCAGTCCTGGACTACCTTCTACTGTAACTGCAGTAACACGGGCTACACTGGTGCCACCTGCCATAACCGTGAGTAGTCATGATTTACCCACAGAATGGGCAAATATCCAGGAATACCAGTGTTAACTTCAGGATGCATTCAACATAGGGTGGGCATTTTTGTTCATTAATTCTTGAGAGACTGTTATATATGCCCATCCCACGGTGGCTGTGTGGGATAGATAGATGGATAGAAGCCATATCCTCATGGAGTTTATGGCTTCCCAGGAACACAGACAGGAAATGGAATAAGTGTTGGAGGCAGGGGTGAGACAATGTGTGTAGGCCCACAAAGGAGAGTTACTAAGTCAAGTACATTGTCTAGATGGGCTCAGTTGTGCTGCTATACTAAATAATATAACATCTCAGTGACCTAAGTAACCACTGGTTGTGTCCTGCCTGTGTTACATGCTCATCTCCCATTGGCAGAGGCCCCTCTTCCACTTTGTCCTCATTCTAGGATGCTCACAAATGCTCCATCACCTAGAAGGTTGCCATGGCAGAGAGAAGCACAAGGAAGCATGTGCTCACTGTTGAGAGTTTCTGCCTGGAAGTGGCAAACATCACTTCCATTCACATTCTATTGGTCAAGTAGCATCACAAGGGCTCACCTGGATTCAAGAGGAGAGGAAGTGCAGTCTTACCATGGGATCAAAGAGAACAGAACCAGCATATGGTGCTAAATGCTGATGACTGCACATCAGTATTAGGGAGGCTTCATATAGAAGGCCTGAGCTGATTTCTGGTAGGAATGCTGCAGAAAAAGAAAAGCAAAAGCAACCTGAATTTCTAAGTGGTTTCACATGGCTGGAGAGTGCCGACAATGAAGAGAAGTGGGAAGAGACAAAGCAGGGAGTGAGGCAGGCTGGAATACACAAAGAGTAAGGGGTGAGGAGTAAAAAATAAATGAATAGCACAAGCCCTGATTACTGTAATTTTATAGTCTCGTTGGGGTCACCAAACAAAAACACATGACAAAATAGAGGTTTGCCATTTAGAGAACTGTGTGTCAAACTGTGTGAAGTGAACTGTAAATATAATTTAGAAAGACATAATCGAAGGTGGTGGCTATAGTTGTAGGAGATTTCATCGGAAATGTGAGCTGTGAAATTGACTTAGGGATAGGAGAAGGACCTGCTAGAAAAAAATGTAAGAATAAAACCAAGGAGCTGCTGAAGACTACAGTGAGATCCACTTGGGGCAAAACTCACCAGGGATTCTTAAGTTTCTGCTGTGGCTGGGATGGCACTTAGAGATTCAGAAAATGAATGGTAGATGTCAGCAGAGCTGAGATCAGACTGATCCAGGGTGGACCTTGTCATCACTCTCGTCCCTGAAGACTTCTCAGCCATTCTATGGCCTTTCTGTGCTTTGCAAGACCAATTGACCAATGATGCCCACAGAGGTGTCTAATCCAATCAGAGATGACATAGCCCAAAGGTCATCACAGGATGAAGTTACTGCTGTTGGATGCCTATGGAAATGAAAAGCACCACTTGGCTTTATAATGAAATATATTACTTACAATCTATAAGTGTTGAACCTAGTTCCAGAAATATCATCCTTAAACAGCCCACAACAATGTATACATGCACAGACACATTGCATGATGCATATAGTACTGTCCAGATTGTCATGTCAGTGCTCTTGTAAGAAGCACAGTAGCAACGAGAATAACCACCGATGTAATAGTGAGGACCTCAAAGGACATTTAAGTCAAAGCTACCCAATTTTTGGCCCAATCATGTGACAACATGTCTATGATTTTTCAAGCTGATTCTGTTCACTTTCTCCTAAAGTAATTTAACAGTAATTTGAGGAGTTCATCTCTATGGATACTTCTCTCCTTTCATTTTCTCCATCCATCAAGGCTAAAAATAGAATATTTCCAGCTTTTTAAAAAAAGTGTGAAGTTGAAAATCAATGGAGGTGAGGTGCTGATTTTTAAAGGAACGCTGTGAAAGCTGATGAGCAGGAGACTCAACATGCAAAGTCTTAAAAAATACCATTCTGTTTTATAACACCTTCTGATTTCCCTTGCTGTGAAATTGCTCAGTGCCTATACTGTAGGTCGCAATATTGTTAAACTCTTTCTTCCCTTCTGGGCACCCGACCAGGAGAAATCAGAGGTACTTGGGTGGCTCTGAGGTTTGGCAAACACACCTGGTATACTTATGTAATTCAGGAATTTGTCACCCTCTAACTCATTTCTCCCTCTTCCCCAGTTCGGTGAGGACCATTGTTTTGAATCAGGTTTGTAAATTGAATGAATCAAGTCATTCTTTTCTGACTACAAAAGGCATGTGCCCCTGACATGGGACATAAGAGATGAGAGCTGCCATAGAATACCCTTGGGTAAAACAAAACAAGCAAGTTCGCAGCTCCACTCTTGTAGAAATGGCAGTGTCCTTGGTGTGTTGGGGCATACTTCTTTGAAGCAGTCATCCATAGTCATAACGCTAAATAAAGTCTTCAGAATTATAAGACATTTATCATACTATTTAAGACTGATAATTTCTTGAGTATTCTTAGTCTTTTGCCTCTTCAAACTCTTCAGGGTGTGTTTTATTTTTTCATTATGCTTTCAAGTGAATATGAACCAACAGTGCTGAGGACAGATAGGATTAACTTCTTTCTGTCCAGTCTTTGTGGATAAGAGATGAATCTGGGTGAGGGGCCTAGTATGATGGACTCTAAAATATAGCAAAATGGGAATTCCCAAAGTCTCTAGGCAGAGCATGTTGCTGTTAAAAGTCGATATATCATCATTCCATTTCAATTTTCTTTCCTCCTTACCTGATGACAAGGACTTGGGTGTACATGTTATGTTACTTTTCAAACACACATTACTCAAAACAATGAATCATGGAACACTGCATCAAAAACTAATGATGTAATATATGGTGATTAACATAACAATAAAAAAATTAAAAAAAAATACACATTACTCAAAACCACCTGTTCTAAAAAGAGGTGGTGAGTATGTGGACAAGTCCTACCCAATCTGGCAGCCTCCTCATATGAGGAGGAAATGTGAGACTTTCACTTATCCCATAAACTGTCACTGAACACCATTATGTCATGTCTTTATGTTGCTTTGGTTAGGAATTTGCTTCTCTATTTTGTATTTTATTCTCCAGAGGAATAACTGAAGGTATACCAATATTTGCAGTCCACCTAAGTCCTGTCAATGCAACCAATAATCAGAGCCTTCAGATGACCAGAGATGGTTACCATGGTTCTTGATTTTATACAGTGTGCAAGTTTAAAAGGTTGTGTAGTAAAAGCTAAAATTCTAAGTATTTAGGGTATATCCTACTCAAGATATACCATGAATCCACGTTAATATTAAAAGGAAAAGGTTTTGATTATGGAGCTCAATGCATACTTAGTCTACAATGTAATGATAAAGTGAGATGGATATTACTATCTCCATTTTATAGATGAACGCACTGAAGCCCAGAAAACTTACACACCTTCCTCAAGGTCACATAGCTAGTGAAGCTGGACTTAAATGGGTGGAATCTGGCTACAATGCCAGAGTTAAGCCTTGTATCTTTCTTTTTTTTAATACTTATTTTTTAGGGGCACCTGGATGGCTCAGTAGATTAAGTGCCCAACTCTGAATTTCTGCTCAGGTCTGATCTAAAGATGGTGAGACTGAGCCCCACATCAGGCTCTGCACTCAGCAGGGAGTTGGAGACTGCTTGAAATTCCCTTCCTCTCCTTCTGCCCCTCCCCCTGGTTGTGTGCACACCCTGTCTCTAGGATAAATAAATATATATATTTAAAAAATACTTATTTGGTTACTGGAAAGAGAGACACCACAAGTATGAGTGGGGGGAGGGGCAGAGGGAGAGAATCTATAAGCAGACTCCATGCTCAGCTTGGAGCCTAACATGGGACTTGATCTCATGCACATGAGATCATGACCTGAGCCAAAACCAAAAGTTGGAAGCCCAACCAACTGAGCCACCAAGGCGCCCCAAGCCCTGTATGTTATTTCCTTTTTTCAAACAAGTAAGACATTTGCAAACCTCTCTATTGAACTTAGTGATGGGATATCCATGACTTCCTTCATATCACTTGAGACACATGAGGATTGTGATACCGTAAATGAAAATCCAATTCTAGAAGACCTACAGATAAGGAAGGTTTTGTATTCAAGAATAATCATACAATCATCATGGAAGAAAGTAGGATGAATTAGCCCTGATAGACAGCTAAAATGAATATAAGAAATAGGAAAGCCTATTGAAAACAGACAGGCAAGATCCAAGACATGATAGAAGGAATATCTATGCTGTATTTGAAATGCTGCCTATGTTTCCCTGGATCAAGAAAAGAAAAGTAAATAGTTCTATTCATTCATTCTCAAAGCCCAAATGATATTCCTAAGAAGCACTTTCCCCTTGGGGAAATCTGAGCTCACTCCCCATTAGAACCAAAGCTTTTTATGGGCTATTGCAATAGCTAAAAATACCACTTCAATAACTGCATAATAAATAATCTATTTAATGATTTTATTCAAATATTTTCATCTATATTTTTCTTTTTTGGGGGGAGATGGGACCTGTGTTTTTCCAAATATTTATTATTGTAACCACACTGTAGTGAGCACCTACATGCTTAAATAATTTTTAAATCCCTCATTTCTATTTTTTTTCTTAGAATGCCTTAGTAATGACATTACTGAGTCAAAGATGATGAATAGTGTTAAGGATCTTGATTCATATATTCAGCTGCTTTCCTTTTTTATTGTTATGTTAATCACCATACATTACATCATTAGTTTTTGATGTAGTGTTCCATGATTCATTGTTTGTGCATAACACCCAGTGCTCCATGCAGAACGTGCCCTCTTTAATACCCATGACCAGGCTAACCCATCCCCCCACCCCCTCCCCTCTAAAACCCTCAGTTTGTTTTTCAGAGTCCACCTTCTCTCATGGTTCGTCTCCCCCTCTGATTCCCCCCCCTTCATTCTTCCCCTCCTG